GTCCACATAAGGTAAAACAAGACCAAAGTTATTCATTATCTTGAATCTCGAATATGTTGCATTTTAACAAATCCAAATTAGAGAATATTTTACTATCATTATTCTCTCAATGTGTAATTTTATGTAAGCATCTATTCGCATGCCATTCACCATATTTTAAGAAAAGGAATAGATATAATGCTTTGAAAATTAAACTGCCATGCCTTGAAGACAAAAGAACCCAAACCCTTCATAATTAAATCTTTTAAACAAATTGAATTCTTGGAATTCAATCGATACGTGAACGAATAAAACTTAATCAAAATAATACCCAATGGAGCATAACTGTTAAAATGGCGTGAATAGTAAATAATTCATGCAATAAAAAATTTAAATCTCACACATGCATACACGTATAATTCCATAGTCAAGCATATAAAATAGATTTTATATGTTATCAAGCCACATAATCAAGTCATGTAACTTACTTAACAAAATATAAAAAGCGCAAAAATAAATTTCATCTTAAGATTGTTGGGGAATACACCGATTCAAAAGTGAATATTGTAACTAACAGATTCACGAAAACGAAACAAGGTTTCAACTTACCGAAATGTAGTTTGAGAAACTAACCAATGATTATTGAATCTGACCATTTCCATTCTTGAATTAAAACATGTGATTCTTCATATCGAACATTGGATAAACCATATAAATAAAATTAATCATTTTCTGAAATCAAGTATGAAGAAATGAAATAAAAAATTAAAAAAAAAATTAGATGCAAGTGATGCTATTGGTCGATGCGAGTATAACTCTTTCCTTAAGATGAATTTGCTCCGCATCGGTGCTAACTATTTTTCGACAATCATCTCCCAAGATACAACGACCACGTCAAGCCATAGGAGCACTCCAAATGGCTTCAACCAACGAATTCGAACGGAATTTCCTCTCTACCATAACAATGATTTTGATGTAAAAGATAATCACTTTTACAAAGTGTTTTATGTAACTTAATATGAAATGAATAATATGGAATTATGAAATGAATTGGAATAATTAGAATTAATTGGAATGACAAATACACATCCAAGAGGTCCTATATATAGAAGATGAATTGGTTTCGAGATTTCAAATATACCACAACGATCTACTCGATAAGTAGAATAAGTTGGTCTATTTTCTTTTATAATTTTACCATCGGATCAAATCCGAACATTCGACCGAAGTTGACACGAAGTCATACTTTTTCATTTTCCTAATTTTACACTTAACCAATTTTCGGTTAATTTTTGAACCAATTCCAACAAATTTTATGTCTAACTTTATGCAATTTTTTTAGTATGACTGATTTTTCAAAATCCAAAGTAAATGTTTGTGGAAATTATACTATGGCATGTTTTTAAAGATTGTAGTTCAAAAATGAAATATAAGGTTTACTTGTCTATAAATTAAGTGATAATTCAACTATTAATATTAATAATATTATTATAAACTCTACCCACCCTACCCCATTCCAACCTAACCCAACCCAATTTTATTCCTAATCCAAAAATAATTTCCCTCTCCTCTTTCTCAATCTTCTCTCTTCTTACTCTCTCCACCTAACCCACAACTCAATAATTCGACATCGGTGCAACCGTTGTTGGAGACCACCAGAGACGGATTTAAGGAGGGCTGGGCTGGGCTGTAGCCCCCCCACACTGAGGCCCAAGAACTTTTTTTTAAGGTATTTTTTATTTTTTTTGGTAAAAAATCAGTTTTTTATGTGTAAATTTTTTTTTCGTGTAGTAGCCTGGTTTGAAATTTTATAGCTCGATTTTGGATCCAATCCTGGATCCGTCCCTAGAGACCACTGTTGAGCTCATAGCGACGCTTCTCTCTCTCTTTTTCATGGACAGCGTTGGAGACACAACTGAGCTCATAGCAATGAGCAATGCTGTGAGCACCACCTCACAATGCAATTAGTGAAGAGTGCCATTATAAGACATCCCTTACCCGTTGCGATGCTATGCACAAGGTCATGCGTAACGACGTTGTTGCGTAGCGACGATATTGTTTTGGTAGTTTGCTTGGTTGTTCTAGTCTTTGGTGATTTGCTTGGTTAAGTTTGCTTATTTGCAGGTAGTGATGGTAATACGATAATGGTGGTTGTGGTAGAGTGTTGGTGGTTTACAAATTATGGTGTCAGTGCTGATGAGGTTATGGTGGTGTTGTTGATGTTGTGGTAACTCACAATTTTCACATATCACAAGTTATTATGCATAGGCCCCGGACCATTGTTCATAGGTCACAAATCACATATTATATGTCACATGTTATATTGTATAAGTCACAGATTAATGTCAACATGTATTAAATTGATATTAACTGGTCACAAATCGGATGCCAAATGTCTTTGTGCACTAACAACATGTCACCGATTCAAATTCACAAGTCACAGTTCGTATGTTACAGGTCACATGTAACAGTTCATATGTAACATGTTATTTTGCATATGTAACAAATCAATGTCCACATGTCACATATTTAATAAAATTTGTCATAAGTCATTGAATCAATATCACAAATAACATATCAACATCCAAAGGTCACATATTCAAGAGACTGGTCATAGACCATTATATCAATATCATGGGTAACAATTTACATGTAGTTTAAATCACACCAACAAAAATCCATCAATTGAAGTTCAATTAGATAATTGTCGTCGATGTTTTGCTAAATTAAAAACCAAAATAAGTCACTACCCCTTGAAAATGCTATACCCATGGATCTCGAATAGATGCCTTTATCTAGATTTGTACTACCATCGTAGTGTGGGAGAAGATGGCGATGAGTTGGCTGTTGGCGATTGGTTAGATGAGTTTGTAGGGAGAGATTGAAAACAGATGAGTGAGAGAGAGAGAGAGAGAGAGAGAGATTGGGGTGGGTCAAGATATTATGATGGATATTTATTAGATAAATAATATATTATTTTATGTATAATATTTATTAATTAGCACTTGACTTTTGAATTTTTAAATATTTTCTCAACTAAATTGAAGTTACTTAAGGCTTGCGTTATGTATTCTTCTAAGGTTTGTATTTACCATTTTCTTCTTGAAAGTTTTGTTCGGAACCTTTACGCCAAATGGACCTTTCCTCCGGACCAATGAAATTAAAGAAGGGAAAATTTCATAAGTGAGATATTAAGTATGACATATTTCAAAATTAAGAAAACAAGTTTCAAAATTCAAAAATTAGATTTTATTAAAATTTATTTATGATTTAATTATTTAATTAATTTAATATATTTAGGTAACAGATCTATATTTGCTCACAAATTAACAATTTAATTACTAATTTATTATCTTTTGGTCACAAATAAAAAATTTTATGTCACAAATTATTTTACGATTACAATTCAAAAATTTTGCAGGTCATAGTTTGTTCATCGACCACAAATCAAAAAATTAATTAGTCACAAATTAATTTTTAGTTACAACTTATCAATTTATTATCACAACTTATTTTTCGGTCACAAATAAAAATTTTTATAGGTCATATATTATTTTTTGATCACGAATAAAAAGTTTTATAACTCACAAATTATTCATTGGTCACAGAATCAGAACTTTTATTGGTCACAACTCATATATTAATTACAAGTTATTAGATTAATTGGTCACGATTCATTTTTTTGGTCATAACTTAATCAATTGTAACTTGTAAGTCACAATTGCAAATTTTAGGTTACATATTATAAATTTAGTCACGGTCGCATATTCAATCACATATTATTTACCGATTACAAATTAACAATTTACTGATCATAACATAATTGGTCACAAACATCTTTCCACCCACTTCAACACCGCCAACCACCACCTCGCCAAATCCATCACTATTGCTAGCTTCACCAGTGCCAAAACCACCCAAATCCCCAACAACAAACGACCACCATTACTCCAACAAAAAAAAAAAAAAAAACCACCCCATAACCTGTAACAACACCATCGCAACCCCACCGCTGAATCATCACCACCACAGCAACGTTCTCCAACAAAAATACCCCAAATTCAACAAAATCGTCACCCAAAAAATTTAAAAAAATAAGAAATCACCCAACCACCGAATCGCCGCCGCCACCGCAACCCACCACTGTAACGTCACAACACAATCAATCACCAACAAAAACACCCCAAAATCTATAAAGGTACATATCGGAGGAAGAAATCACAGTCCGTTTCGTGCGTTGGTAGCAAGCGATGCTGCTACCTCCGACAACGTCGTTTTCGACAGAGAGAGTTGAGAATGGTAGAGAGAGAGAGAGAGAGAGAGAGTTCTACCAGAGAGGTTAGAATAGAGAGACGGAATTGAGGGTTATATAGCTCCCATTAAATTTCATTACATTACATTTCATTTTTCACTCTTCTATTTTCAACCACACAATCTTCCATAAAATAATGTTATACGTAAATCGAAATTTTTTTTCTTTTTTTCAACCACTCATTTTTCAAACAAATACTATTCAACCCATTTTCATTTCTAGAAAATGGGGGCCAAATGGGGGCATAATGTAGTAGTGTTTGAATTGTGTAGGTAAATTAATTAGTTAATTTTTAAATATATTAATTAATGAAAAGAAATTTAATTTTTGAAAGAGTAAACTGTATATGATTTGTGAAATGGAATTTTTAAGAGTGTATTTGATTGACATGAAAAATATCACTTAGAAAAGAAAATGTTTTCCATTTTTTGTGGAAAATAAAAATCACCTCTACTCAAAGAAAATATTTTCCTTAAAAACAAAGAAAATTAGGCATATTTTCAAAAGTTGAAAAATATTTTCCATGGAAAAAAATAGCAATCAAACACTTTAAGTAGGAATTTGAATGAAAAATTGATATTTTTCATGAAAAATAAATGTAATCAAACATACCCTAAATGTAATAGATTGTGTAATTTCCAAGTTAAAGAATTAAGCTCACGCCCAAATTCTGGGTCCACACCGAACCCATTAACCGGCCCAAGTTTTGTCTTCAAATTAAACTGCAACAGAACGGACCAGCATCATTTCGCAGACTTCATCGGCGATCAAAATGAACGATTCATCGGCAACGGCAAACCTAACCTCAGTTCCAGAAGAGACCTCGGAAGAAGACCAAAATCATGAGACTGCCACTGAAACTGTTAACAAATTGCCCTCCGCGTTTTCTGCTAAGCCCGATCGTCCTCCAATCCAGTAAGCATTCGATTATACGAATTATCTTCGAAACAATGCTACTGGTAATTAAGTAAATAAAACTTATTTATGATTTCGATGTGTTTTTGTATGAGTTCACCTCGAACACGTGAAATGTTCTTTAAAATAGATTTTGTACCGTATTTAATTTTCTCAGCTTCTAGATACATATTTATTACGGATATTTGGGTAATATTATTCTTTAAAGTCTTTTAGTTTTTTTGAAAATTGAGCTTGCGATCGATTTGGCAGCAAAATATGCATGAAATATTAGTGTCTGGCTTCAAGTCGGTTTAAAGTAGAATGTGAGATAGTGCAATTCTTAAAGCGTTTGTGTTAAAGTTTACTACAGTGACAGAAAATACTGTCTTTAGTTTGAAAACTTATAGCAAAACGCTGCAATTTTTCTTTCAGAAGATCTTTAAATTTTAAGAATTCCATTGCTTCTCATCAATCGGCTGGTGTACCTAACTTGAATTTTAGCACCTGTAGGTGTGGGTCTCCTTGAGTTACTAGTAGCACCCACCTGAATTACTGGTAATTCCCCTCTTCTAGAAAATGTTGAAAGTGAACCATACTAAAAATGGACACCTGTAACTTTGACTGGTGGAATCCATTGCTAGTAAATCGTACGATTAATTGAGTGATTTTTTGATTGCTTTGGGGATCATTAGGATCTATGGTTTGTGAGGAATCGACTGATTTTTTTGAGGCTTGGAGAGTGAGATCCAAAGTTAATATTCTTTGGGTGGACCATGGCATTAAATGATGTTTGATGCTGAAATGGCATTATATCTAGTTCAGCTTACAGTGTCTGTAGCAGTATAACACCAAGGAAATTGACAAAGAATTTCAAGGTGATGATCTAATAGTGAAAACATGTGTGAAGGCTTCAGTTATGGGTTGTTTTTAGTAATTAAAGCAAGCACTGCTATTAAACAACTTCTGTGATTGATTTTAGCTGCAAATGAGATTGTATCTGTTGTAAATGTGATGGTCTCTTGCAGTGGAGGTGGTAGATGATGGAAGAGAATGGTCAAATTGTGGATGTGAGAATTGAAAGTGGTGTCAACTCTCTTGTGCTTGGACATAGTTGTAAAATTGAAATTATTGAGTACTTGTTCTTCTTTTGGTATAAAAGGAGAAAATTCATTCCATTGCTGTTAAGATATTCAAATAAAAACAATTTGTAAACCATATGGAATTTGAAAGAGTTTTTGTTCCACTCGGCTTTTTTATAAGTCCTGAGGTAAACCTTGTTGACAAAAAATGGGTTGTGGCACCCAATAAATGACCAGGAACAGCAAGGAAAGAGGTAAAATTAAACATTCGAGAATATGAATTCTTTGCAGAGTTAAGTTGTATGTACAGATCTTGGTGTCAATTTTATTGAACAAGATAAACATAAGTATATTGGATACGTTGAAATTTTTGTACTATATTCTATTATTGGATTTCACAACTCTCTATCTTGTTACATGTCATTTGTGTATCAATGATTTCTATTGATTGAAACTTGCTGCATGCGAGTAGTTCATCAATGGAAGAAGTGGCAATTTAATCTGGACACTAACTACATCTATCTATTTCCTTTCCTTTTCTCTTTATTTGGCTCTACATTGCTCGCAAGTTAGGTGGCTCTGAATTATTTTATTGGTCAGCATGAATGTCATTTAAATTTATACATTTATGCTCTTTATATTTTCTAATTCTCTCAAACGATCAATTATTTCTGTCGGACTGAAAATTACTACTTATGCCTGTTTATTTTTGTAGGATTTCTTCACAAAAATATGCACCTATAGATTGGTTAGGCTACTTTGACCAAGAGGACGATATTCGCATCCAGGATTCAAATGATGTGAGTCACATCATTTTGCTAACTTGTTTACTAACATCTCTTATTATTCTGTTAAGTGAAAAGATTGTCCTTTTGTTTTGATTCTCATTTTAGGTTTTCCACATTTACACAGCAGGAACTAAAGGTCCAGTTGTGTTTTGTCTACATGGTGGGGGTTATTCCGGGTAGGTTTACTTCTAGGTTTGCTGAAATCTATTTAGTTCTTTGTATTGTCCCTCTTAGTGTAATTGATTCTTCACAATGTCTGATGATTATGACCTTTATAAGAAATTCTTATTTTTTCTTTAGGGTGTGTTTGAGCCCCATTATTTGGCATTATAATGAGATGAATAGTGTTTTTTTTGAAAAATGAGTAGTTGAAATTTTTTTGATTTACGTGTAATATTCTTTTATTGAAGATTGTGTGGTTAAAATTAAGAGAGAGAAAAATTTAATTTAATGTAATGAGAAATAATGG